TGAGGCATTCTTTGAACAAAAAGGGTAGGAGAAATAGTAGAGTTATGTCTGTTTCATTTAAAGATGAGCATGATGCAGAGGAACTACAGGCAGTGGATGCATTACGTCAAATTCTTATCTTGGAAGAATTTCTACCTGCAAAACATGATGATTATCACATGATGCTAAGGTTTCTTCCTTTTCCTTGTTCCATAGTCAATGATTTGGAATTGCATGTGCAGTTATTTCATGTTTATAACTTTATAATGATAAATTGAGTTGTAAGAAACATTGGCGGATAAGCCTTTAGTTTTACTAAATTTGAATAAGTTTCAACTGTGGGAGGCGGTGCCACTTGCTCTGCAAGATGGCAGAATGACATGATAGCAGTAATACATGATAGTGAATTATTGCGAGCTCATGTTTGGGTTTTAGTTTTGATTGGGGTAACAGAATGCTAATAGCTTTCCTTCCTCCTGTGAGATCTTAGTTGCGAAAAGCAAAAAAATTCAAGCCACATATAAACTAAAGTATATTGGCATCAATACCAGGTTCTTTTATGCTTGATTTGTTGTTAAATTTGGACAGGGAGTTTCATTTCAACACTTTTGATGCATGAAAATTTAGCCTTTCGGTTTATTTGCTTCCCTTTTCAAAAAATAGTGCTTGTGCATAGCCCTTTTTTTAACACTATTAGTGGCTGACCTCACTGGTGTAGCACTCTATTGTATAAAATGGTTTCTGAATTTTAGAGAAAGACATTGTTTTGATGCTCGGCATGCATGTGTATAGTGGAAATATTGGAGACATTAGAATGACAGTAATATTTCTTTTGACAAAATGAAAGCAGGATATTCTTATATGAATAGCATTCACATTGTAATGCATTCTCAAAAATTTTGGGTATGTCATTGTGAAGATAGCATAGCTTTATGCCTTCGGTTAATTTTTGCTCTCCAACTGATCTTGGGATGACTCAGGATCAATAATTAGATTGTCAACTTGTTGTACGGTGATCAGATTTTTGAAGGCCAGGAAATTTGATATCGAGAAAACAAAGCAAATGTGGGCTGATATGCTCCAGTGGAGAAATAATTTCGGTGCTGACACAATTGTGGAGGTATTTTGGTTTGGAATGCGTTCGTATAGCCGAACATATGGGCAGTTGTCTCTTATTTTTGCTTATTCATTTCTTTGTTCAGGATTTTGAGTTCAAGGAAAGAGAGAAGGTCCTCGAACACTATCCACAGGGACATCATGGGATTGATAAGGATGGACGACCTGTTTATATTGAAAGACTTGGCAAAGTTGATCCAAATAAGCTTCTGCAAGCCACAACATTGGACCGCTACTTGAAATACCATGTGCAGGAGTTTGAGAGGACCTTCAATGTCAAGTTCCCAGCCTGTTCAATTACAGCGAAAAAGCATATTGATCAGAGCACAACTATCCTGGATGTTCAAGGAGTGGTATGTGGGGATCCTAACAAATGCTCTGAATGAAAAACCACCCGCCTATTTTTCACAATAAGGGGCCTTCAACTGAAACATGATTTAGACTGCCCACTTCATATTCTGAAAGGCAAAAAACAACCTGCTAATTGTGCATCAGAGCTGAGCTACCATAAATCTCAAAATGCTAAAACCAGCTTTAAGAATGGTGTGGCTACTTTATTATGGGTGCATGCACGTATAAACTGTTGTGTACTACACATAATTGTTATATTATAGGGTATTTTTCATAAGAAAAAGCAAAATTGCTAGCTCAAATATCATTTGTTAGTAGAAAAAAAATGGCATCCTTAACTTTTTATTGATGCCTTAGGGACTGAAACATTTCAGCAAAATTGCGAGGGAGCTCATTCAGAGCATTCAAAAGATTGATAGTGACAATTATCCCGAGGTACTTGTTTTATCTGTCAGCGTGATTTAACACAACAAACTTCTTTGGTTTGCCACCATGTTGTGAATAATGGCCTTTTACTTTGAGCTCTCATTGGGATACTTTTTTCTTTGTAGACCCTGTGCCGTATGTACATTATTAATGCAGGTTCGGGATTTAGGCTCCTATGGAACACCGTTAAAACATTCCTGGACCCCAAGACCACTGCAAAAATTCAAGTAAGCCTTTTTCATTGATTTACCTCAGACTAGGGCTGTTAATTGAGTAGTTTTCTTAGCCCATCAATGGTTTTTTCTTGTACCAGGTTCTGGGCAACAAATATCAGAGCAAATTGCTTGAAGTAATTGAAGCCAGGTAACTATTTTGTTGATTGGTTTGACATTGAATTGATTGTGATTTGTCAATAGGCCTTACAGTTTATGACAACAATCAGTGAGCTTCTTGAATAACATTATTTGCTAATTGTAACAAAACATGACATTGCCTTCTAAAATTTCGGTATGGTCCTCACTGCAACATTTTCTTCCCTGAGCTGTATCAGTGAGCTACCAGACTTTTTGGGTGGTACATGTACTTGTGCAGACAAAGGTGGATGCATGCTTTCTGATAAAGGCCCATGGAATGATCCTGATATATTGAAGGTGTCACCTCTTCTTTCTGTTGTAAATTTTTTTGTTCAAGTTGGCACTTCATGGTTAAACCATTTTTTATCAAAGCTGCCTAAGTTTAATTGTTAATTTTTTGAACTAGATGGTTTACAATGGTGAAGCCAAATTCTCAACTAAAATTTTGATTCCAGCCATTGAGGAGAAGACAATTTCTGAGGATGAGAATGCAAACCTAAAGGTATCCAGTCCTAATTCGGATATAAATCTGTCAATTCCTTTTTCATTGATTTTTAGTCTTCTTATTAATTGCCCCTAATTGGACTTGGTCTTTTAAGTTTCCAAACTGGAAAGGCATTTCATTCTGCATAATGTTGAATATTGTTAAACTTTTATCATAATATAGATTGTGAAGATACGTGTCTCTTTCAACTCGGAAGCGGTTTCAGAAGTGGATGATATGCGATCCCACCATCCCAGGCTGCAAAGAGAGTATTCTGAACATCCACAACTCTCTCCTGTTTGTGAAGAAGTAAGTTATTTAGGCTCCTATCATGTATAAATGACAGTGCCACATCAAAGTCATAAGAAAGTTATGTACGTATTGTTCTGTCTACAGGGTCCTACCTATGAGTATGATGACTTTGTTCCAATGGTTGACAAGGCTGTGGATGCAACTTGGCCTAAACCTGTACAAAGTGACAAATTCACCTTTTTTAAAGGTACATAATTTATTCCTCACTATGCCAATTATATGAATATTGTTAGGGGATGATGTCATCAACTCTCCAATTCTATGAAATTTATATTCCAAAATGTTTGTGCATGAACTACTTATGAAGATATAAGTTAATTTATATTCTCAGGGGTCATGACTTTTGTAATGGGCATTGTCACTATGGTCCGCTTGACTCGCAACATGCCAAGAAAGTTTACTAATGACATCCCCTATTCTAATTCCATGAGGCAACCCCACCAGTTACCTGCATCCATCATCTCTGGTACTGAATATTTATCAATGATGAAGCTCTTGGATGAATTGGAGGAGAAGGTAGTTGTTCTCTGCAGCAAACCTGCAGTTATGCCACCTGAGAAGGAGGAAATGCTGAATGCTGCTCTAAGTCGTGTTGATGCTTTGGAGCAAGAGCTTTCGGCAACCAAGAAGGTATCCTATCTAGTTCTCTTGAATTCATTGTTGTGATTAGAATTGGAAAAGAAAAAAATAAATAAATAAAAAATAAAAGTACAGATTGTGGGATTTAGAATGCTCTGAAAAAATACGATCGCCATTGACCATAGAAAAAAATGGCTACTACTTTGTGGAAAATTAACAAAATGCAACTAGACTAACATTCATAGAAGTATATAGTTCAAGCTAATTGTGGTTCTTGTGCAGGCTTTCGAGGATGCCATTGTTCGACAGGAGGAGATTTTAGCCTACATTGAGAAGAGGAAGAAGAGGAAAAGGCATTTTTTTCGGTTTCTAATTGCAAACTAGAAACAAAAAGAGATTGCAGAACCTATTCTGTAAGATGATATTAACGTAATTGTGATATATTATTATGTTGAAACTGGTTGCAAGATTGAGATTTTCAGCCCCACAAGTTGATGTTTGCTGTGGATCAGTTTTCTCTTTAGCAGATCCAGATTTTTCAGATACGATTCTCAGATAGGAAGTCTGATCCATTGATAGGACTATGAAGTTCTCAAATCGAATTTCTTGTATATTTGATATTCTTTTAACAGTTGTGCGCATATTCTGAATAAAATTTGGCAAGGCTGCGAGTTCTCTTCTCAAACTTTTTACCATTAGTTATTCCTTTCTAAGTTTCTACAAATAATAATAATAATAATAATAGTCAATATAAATGGCCAATAAATTACCTTCGTTCTTTTTCTTTTTTTTTTAACAAATTAATTTGGCTCTCCCTAACACTGTGTTTGTTCGGAGCAAAAATTTTCTATGAAAAGAGTTTTCTTCATTTGCTGACTTTCAATACAACGAAAACAAAAATCAACGGAAATATTTTTCGTGATCAACAAGGAAACAATACTATTTGGAGGGAAAGTATTATTTGCTTTTTAAAAAAGTACAAAACATTTTTCAAACTAAAATCTTACGAATGCCAATTCACTATCAATAATGTAACTATTAGTATATTATTTTCATGGACGGAACTAAACATAAAAAATTTTCTCCAAAATTTATTTTTGAAAATTGCAGATTACAATTAACTGCATGACATTTTATTGTAGCATCCCGGGAATATAGGTACCAGTAAAACGAAGTATAAAAATCAGACAAGTTTTCACAACCTATCATATTTTAAAGCTATTCATTAGCATACGGAGACCTAAACTTTAATGAATTTAGTAGACAAAATAAACAGAGAGAGAGAGAGAGAGAGGTGCTTTGCGAGGTCTCTCTGACAAAAATCGTATATTCTAGGTAGACTCTAGAGGCAATCTAATCTGTTTCTCAGACAATGAAATGAGATCTCACAGCAATGAAAATTTGAAAAGTAGCACAAATCCAATCAATTATGGAAACAGTGAATCAAATTTACAACCAAGTAAATATCAAAAACCTCTTTGCTCACAAACTTAATTCGTTCATACGTTTCAGGACATTTTTTTTTGTTGAAACAAACAAAACAATAAACATATATTCGGAACATACAGAGAAAGTACAATAATTCCATACACAGTTTTTCACGACAATGGTATGTACTCTCATCTCACTAGGCAGACATATCTTGTTCACAGTGGCAGATCCTCTGCAAGGTTAATGTGGGTATATTATACGGTATACACTGAGTGATGACATTCTTCAAAGCCAAACATATGCGTGTCCCATAGCCCTTCCTTCACATCCAACATCTTTTACCAGCAAGACTTCTTTTTCTGCTCAACATGCATTGAGAAACTCATATCAGCCATTAACTAAATTAAGATTTTAATGTAACAGGGGAATGAATCTTAAGCACACATACTAGACTAAGGGCACAAGCGATGGGCATGCTAAAAAAATCAACCAGTTGAAAAAAAGGAAAAAAAAAACTGAAAAGTGATCAAAATATGAAATTCAAAATCAAGATCTGAGGTAGTTGGTACAGGGGTAATTTGGGAATACAAAAAAGTGTGACAGTTCACATCAACAGCATAGATATTGGTGCACTCACCCGAAACTTAGCTTCTTCTTGACTGTCAATGTAAGCAAGCAGTTCCTCCTGCTTCATTAAAGCCTCGTACAGAGCCTGTTCAGGGAAAAAAAAACATTCAAGTAATAAACTCATCATCACTCCTCACGTACCGTTTGAAAGAGTAGTGATATCATGATATATGCAAACATAAAAAGTATACAAAATTTGTATGCAGAATAATGTGACTGCATTTGGGACTTGTCATTTAAAATCAAAATATCCATTTAAAAGGCAAATAGGTAATCACCCATTGTTATTCATTATATGGATAGTTTATTATGTGTGGTGTAATTTAACCTGAAGGAAACGCAAGCATGGTGGTCTGTCTTGTGGTGTTTATTCCATACTTGGTGCTTAGGTTTGAACCTATTGCATCAACTAGGGAACACATCTTTATCCACCTTTTTAATGATTTTTCTACTCTTACCTCCTTTCTTATTTAGCTTTTTATGCTTCTTGAAAGCAGAAGACCAACACTCTCGAACCATCCTCTTGTGCAATCTCTGTCTTTTCTTCTCTCTAATTTTTCTCCCTCCCTCCCTCCCTCCCGCCCTCCCTCTCTCTTCCACAATATCACTCTTTTGCACTAACTCAAATTTTCTTCACCAACACAGAAGACTCTGCATTCTCTGTGTGTGTGTGAGAGAGACACAGAGAGAGCTGCCTGAGTCGGTCAGCGATCAGTTTCCCCCTAGCCCATTCAGTCACCTGAGTGGATTTGCTTATCCATTCACCTAGCTGCTTAGGTGCACATGCAATCACCAGTAACAACTATGCCTCCTAATAATAGATTTTTATAAGATTTGTTATAAAACAGAGTCATGATTTCAATCTTGAAAAGAGAACTCTAGTAAGCAGTCATTTATGGTGGTTTACATAAGAGCTTTATATGTTTAACTCTAAGCAAAACATAACAAAATTGTAAACTGCAGTGCCCATACCTTTTTAGTAGAAATTAACTCCGCTTCTAGGGCATCCACACGGCAAACAGCGGCATTCAGAAGTTCCTCCTTCTCATAAGGCATCTCAGATGGCTTTGCTTGAAGTGTGTCAACCTTTTCTTCAAGCTCCCCCAGCCTTTTCAGAACAGAAGAAAGGAGTTCTGCCTCTGTAAATGACCGAGTCGGTGAAGGGGGGCGGAAGTCCTCCTTGGGTACAGCATCTAGAGAAAGTTCATGAATATTTTGCCCATGATCAGATGAAGTCTCAGGGAGTTTCTTGGTTACACGGCACGCTACTGCATGGCAGAGCGTGAAAAGTGTCATGAAGAAGGCCATAAACACTGCTAAAATCCGAGCACGAAATCCTTCCGGTGCCTTTTGAGTGTCAGGTAGTGGAACTGTCCCTGCAAAAAATTCAGTCAGATACACCACACACACACACACACACACACAAATCAAATATATCAAAATGCAAAAAATTGAAGTCATTAGAAAGCAGAGGATAAATGAACTTAAACCATGACTGGTTTCATATATATGTTAGCATGTAAAAATTTAAGAATAAGAAAACAGCACCCACTAGGCTAGACTTACTAACCTTTTGAAACATAAGGCTTCTGAAAGGATGGTTGATTCTGCCAACAAGCATCGACAGCCTTGTCGACCATGGGAACATATTCATCATACCCAGAGAAGCCACCAGCATAGTTTGCCTTTCCAATAACCTTAGCCTGGTTATTTATGTAATCATCTTAGTAACATGAATAGCTGCCACAAAATTTAGAAAGCTTGAAATCAACCAACATAATCATCATCAAGTGAAAGTCAAGAACCTACTTCTTCACGAACAGGAGTTAACCGAAGATGTGAATAACTCATCATTGCTTTTGGCGAAGCAATATCTTCAGCTTCAGATCCAGACTCAGCGGTGGATGTATCGCTGTTTTTTATCTGCTTATATAGAATTAAAAAAAAAAAAATAACGACATAACAATCTAAACTGAAAGCAGAGATAGCTGTGACCAAGCAACTTGAGAATACTAAGGGTTCGTACATACCATTGGGTAATTTGGCTTAGCATAAGCAACCACCTTCCCTTCACTATTTAGAACTTTAACAACTTGTCTAGCACGCCGTGCTTCGCCTCTAAGGACCATCTGCAACATAATGACCACCAAGCAATTATTTCAATTAAAAAGCAAACACGAGGCACAATTCATGAGTGAAAAACCTATTCTAACTACAAATTTTACATCCCAATGCATGTACAGACCTTCAAGATTTCTGGATTTTTCCAAGGACCTTTATCAGAAAGAAGGCAACCTCCTTGATCAGCACAGGTACAGGTACCCCCCATGAAATCTGGCAACTCACTGTGCAGGTCCCACAATTTTTATTTAGTTTTGAGGTAAATTAAGGCAGTTTAGGGTAAGAAATAACAAACAAAAAACTACAACAAATTTTTCAAGTAAGTTCAGAACAAGAAAGAAGTAAACAACATGTCAACGAAATATAAATTCCCCAATTCCCATATTACCTGGCATCAATAATTTCAAGTAACTTGTTCTGGTACTTGTTTCCAAGAACCTAAGTAGAGAATCCAAACAAAAAGAGAATGACACCAGAAATGTCAACAGCTGCACAGTGATATAAAATAAAAATGTGTCCAAATAAGATAAGAATATTCACATACGTGAATCTTGGAAGTTGTTCTGGGATCTAGAAAAGTCTTTACAGTACTCCACAGTAGTCTAAAACCAGGACCAGCATTGATGATAAACATTTGGTGAAGAGTCTGCAGCAATTAAGAGGACACAAAATCCAAGTTAATATTAAGGGATTGTTTGGGATGATGTAAATAAGTGCACTTTTTGACTTTTTATGAAATATGGGTTGAGTTTGGATTAGGTTTGAAATGATGTGTTAGAGAGGTGATGTGACTTAAATAAGATGATGTGACTTAAATAGGATAGTGACCTTTTGACTTTTTGTCTTTTTCAAGACATGCCAAACTTGGCCTTAGCGTCAATAATCAATTTCAACATATTTGAGCACAATATAATTTGTCAAGGAAGAGAAATAAGATTACTTCAGGGTAATTGTCACCATCAATCTTCTGGAGCCGCATTACAAGGTCACGTGCACCCTTGGTAAAATTTTTCAAACCCTGAACCATTCACAATAAGACATAACAAAAGAAGGATTAATGAAGATTTTTTAGAATGTAAGGAACTCAATCACAGCATGTCAAAATTAGGAAAAACACAGGAGGCCACATACCACCCCTTGAACATCTAAGATTGTTGTACTTGAATCTATGTGCCTTTTTGCAGCAACAGTACAAGCTGGAAACTTAATTGCAAAGCTTTTCTCAAATTCCCCGACATGGTATTTTACATACCGATCCATTGTGGTAACTTGCATGAGTTTGTTTGGATCAACTTTTCCCAATCTTTCAATATAGACAGGTCTTCCCTCCCTATCCACACCGTGATTACCATGTGGATAATACTTCAAAACTTCATTCAACTCTTTAAATTCAAAATCCTGATGAAAAAAATCAGCGAGTAAAACACAGATTAATTCAAATCCACAGCAGAAAACAATATGGAGAGCCCACACAACAAACCCAAGGCAAAATGTCCAACGTAATTACCTCCATAATAGTGTCAACACCAAAATCTTTTCTCCATTGGAGCATTTCAGCCCACATGTGCTTTGCTTTTTCAATATCAAACTTCCTTGCTTTCAAGAACCTGCAGTATGAACTCATTTATGAATATCACAAACCGAAACACAACAATTTGAATTTCAGATGAAATCTTTCCCAGAACTAACACATTTGCAAGATACCACAACAAATCAAAGAAACTGGTGCACAAAAGGAAACCGCGGAAGCTCTGCCTCTAAAGCAAACAGAATTGTGGAGAAAAAAGGTGAAAGAAAAGCACACCAGACAGAGAAAGTGAAAGACGAGCTTGAAAGGCTTATGGACTGAGTCAACAATCTTTCATCAGTGAGAAGTTGTAACTTCAGCATGCGTGAGAGAGAGAGATTGAAATTCACAATATTTCAAATATCCATCATTGACCAATTTAAACCAGTGGAATATGTGAAAATTTTCCAACATATGATGTACATCATTCATGTATGTTAATTGAAGCAGACTGACTGTACCTTGTCTAATGCCAATCTATTAAAAAAGGATCAATTAGAGTTGGAGTATGATCGAGTTAATGGATCAGACCTCTTTTTAAGAAAGTACAATAAAACATATCATAACACGCCAGACAGTAGTGTAACCTCTGCACACCAAGAATATATAAGGACCATACACTCTCATCAAAAGAGAGCTTTCCCAAAAAATCTATAAGAACAAAAGATGACTGACAAACTGACAAAAATTTCCTTTAAGCCAAAATCTAAAAGTATGAAATAGAGACAACATTAATCTATTAACAGACAACTCTAAATCCTAAAAATAGCATTTTTTTTCCTCTTACGCCTATAGGGGTGTGCTGCCAGTAAAGCCAATGAATAACCACCCCCCCCCCCCCCCCCCCCCCCACCGAAAAAAAAAACTAGAAAGAGCATTTTTAACGGTATTTATCACTCTTGTAAAATATTTTGAATACCCTACGCATCACCACTTGTCACCACTCCAAATTTGTTTTGACACTTGTCCCTTTGGGAAAAAAAAAATTGAACACCATGAGTTGTTAATTTGAGCCCTTTATTAAAATTTTGAACAGCCTTTTTATGTTTAACCCACTCCATTCAATAACAACAACAACAACAAAGAGAGAGAGAGAGAGAGAGAGAGAGAGAGAGTGTTCATAATATTATAATTTATCTTTTATTAATTGACAAAAAAAAGGAATACGAATACCCTGATAAAAATTCATGGAGCTGCCACTGGCGCCATACACTCCATATCAAGCACTGAGGCACCTTCCAAGCTTTCCAGAGTCTCCTAATTGGACACTCTCCTATACATGACTATAGGTCACGTTTGTTTGGGAGATTAGGAGGTGGGATTGGAGTAGTACGGAGGTAGGTCCCACTAACCCTTGTTTGATGGCTTCCTTGTGGAGGGGGATTGCTACTCCAAGCGGCTTGCTAATCCCCCTCAGTAGGGGATTAGCTTGGGTGAATTTTGGGTGGAATTAGGAAAATAGGGAGGGGATTGAGTCTATTTTATATAAAAAAAAATTATTTTTATTTTTATTTTTTTTGACCAAGTGCACCTGTTTGTTTTAATATTTGTTTTAGTTTTTTTTTAATATAGAAATTATTTATTTATTTATTTTATATAAAATAATTTAACAATCCCATCACTAACCATCTCCCACACTATCATCAAAATAAACACACTTTCAGTTAATCTCCTCACTAACAATCCCTACATTAACAATCTCTTCACTAACAATTCCATCCAACCTAATCCGCTAAACAAACGTGGAGCAAACAGGCCGAAGATGTTTACAAGCTACTAATTCTCAATCCATCCTCCCTCACTGGACTACAAGTTGTGTTTCCCCTTACTAACAATCTCATCCAACCTAATCCGCCAAACAAACGTAGAACAAACAGGCCGATGATGTTTACAAGCTACTAATTCTCAATCCATCCTCCCTCACTGAACTACAAGTTGTGTTTCGTTCCAAATATGATATTTAAACTCCTCCACTACACGTCCTCACAAAAGAAATTGGCGCAACTTCACTAATCTCATAGCTAAGAAGCATGGACACGGACACGTGACACGACACGAGTACGACACGGACACGCTGACACGTTAATTTTCAAAAAATGTAGGACACGACACGTGAGGGACACGCATGAAATATGTAATTTTATATATTTATTATATGTTATATATATGAATATATCATTAAAAAGATAATAAAAAATACAATATGATACTAATTCCTATAAATTTATATAGTTTTTGTTTTATTATTGTATCTTAAGTTGTTTTGTTCGAACTTATAATTAATTTCACATATGTCTAATCGTTAGACACTTATATTTAAGCGATGGACACGTATGTCCTTCAAGTGTCCAAAGAGTGTCCAAGTCTTTAAAAAAATTTAAAAAATAGGACACGTTTTGAAGAGTGTCGGACACGTGTCCTGAGAGTGTCCAAAGAGTATCGGTGTCCGACACGGATACGACACGAATACGTCACCTTCTTAGAAGTGTCCATGCTTCTTAGTCTCATAGACACCCAAACGGGAATAATATACTAGGATGTAGGCTGTGTTTATGCACTTACAGTTACATATAGCATCAACAGAAAGAAACAAATCTTGCCAATCAATCCACAAAACCCTTTGAAGTCAATCACTAATAGTTTTCGATAACTTTACAACTCTATAAAAGAGAATGTTGTCAACAGAAGTGACCATTTTTTTTAACAGGACATCAACAAAAGAGACAACTAAACGGAGCATTTCATAAACATTTACCAATTTTTGCATGCAATATATTAAGTAAAAAAGAATGAAGGATAGAGTACCTTAACATCATGTGATAGTCATCATGTTGTTTTGGTAGCAATTCATCCAACATCAGTGCTTGTCTAAATTCATCAACAACCTGTAACTCCTCGGCATCCCGAACATCCTCTATTGAAACAGAGCTAACTCGACCATCACTCTTTCTTCTGCTCTTCTTCTTGAGAGAATGTTTGAACTTGGTAGATGCATTTATTGCTTTCTTCTTCAATGAACTAATTCTCGTCCTTCTTTCATCCTCAGAGTTTTCAAAATCAGATCTTCTTTCTCTTCTCTCATCATTACCAGATGACCCCTCAAAGCCTGTCACATAGCAAGAGTTAGCAAAGATATTATAAGTTCAGTAAGGGTAATGCAAAACCACAATGACATAAATTTGACATAAGAGAACATAATTCTCCAATAATTTAACAACTCATTTTTAAAAATTTAGACTACAAATGTCCAAATCAAGATTAAAATACTTCTGAAATACTCTAAGGCGGGCATAAAGACAATTGTGTTGCAAACATGTCAACAAATATCTTCCAATATAAGCCCTCTCAAGAATGGATTTCTGCTACAGTAATGCTACAAAGCCCGAATATAGGGGCTCGAATTTGGCTCGAAATTAGGGGGAAGAAGGAGGAGGAGGAGGAGGAGGAGGAGAAGACTGGAGGGGCCAACAAAATCGGGCGGAGGCGGAGGCGGAGGTGGAGGCGGGGCTGCGATGCTGACGAGCGACGAGGGACGAGCTGCGAGATCGGCCGACGAGCTGGGACGCCGACGAGCTGCGACGACGACGACCTGCGTTCTCGCTCTCCCCTCTGTGTTCTCTCTCTCTCGCCTCTGTTCAAGTCAACGAAGAAGAAGGAAGAAAAGGAAGAAAAGAAAAGGAAGGGAAAAAAAAAAAAAATCAAAACCCAAAACGACGTCGTTTTGGGTTTTGAGCCAAATTCGAGCCACTAATTTCGGGCCCTCAAACATTATTCTTTCTGCTAATAGTGAAACATATATTCTAGTTCTTTAAAGGCAGCATAAGAAAATCAGAACAAGAATCAGAAAAATCAAATGCGAAATACCACACGACACAAACTAAACACAAGTAATAAAAGACATACTGCACAAGATATAACAAATATTCAATGCCAAAAAATTGCAAATCATGTATTTTTGAGTTCAAAAAGTCGAAAATCATGTACATAACCAAACCAAAAGTAACTGGAAAGGAAAATCTTGAACCACAACAATCACAATATGCATAAATCATCATATCCTAAAAAAAACTGACCAAAAACAATAACAAGATATCATAAAAAAGTGCAAGACACAATAATTCCCGATCCAATAACATTAATCAGCTGAAAAAAGCCAAAAGAAAACCCTATACTCCAGCTTCAAAATATGAGAGGCTTCATATAGTTTCTACAGAAAACAAGTCCAGGCACAAAATAAATTATCAGAAAAATTCACGGTTTTCTTTGGTCAACTTCACAAGTAATAAAAACTCTTATACACCTCAAGAAAATTTAGGATTTTTTTTCCCCCCGTCAAACCAAACAGAAGCAATTGGAATTTTTTCCACAGATTCTCGTCATATACAAGAGTCGATTGAACATGCATACAAGGACATAAAATCTGATATTAAAAACAAAACCCTGACTCAATACGATCTTAACAGATCGACTACAGAAACAGCTCAATAACATCAAGAAAAAAAAAACATGTTCGGATTCAAAAAAGAAAAACAACTCACAAAATTTAGGATTTTTTTTCCCCATCAAACCAAACAGAAGCAATTGGAATTTTTTCCACAGATTCTCGTCATATACAAGAGTCGATTGAACATGCATACAAGGACATAAAATCTGATATTAAAAACAAAACCCTGACTCAATACGATCTTAACAGATCGACTAAAGAAACAGCTCAATAACATCAAGAAAAAAAAAACATGTTCAGATTCAGAAAAGAAAAACAACTCACAAGGCCTCGCAAACCGATCCAACGGGCCCGACATAACTCGGTCTCTCGATTTTGCGCAAATAGCGGTACAAGAAGTCTCAAATCTGAGCGATTCAACTGCAAATTGAAGCGCTATAAAACCTGCATTACGATCAGAAACCCTAGAAATCGCGAGATCGGAATCGAAATTCACAATCGCTAAGAAGAAAAAGAAAAAAATCTGCGTACCTTCAGAAAATGATATCGGTCACGAATGACGAGGGCCCGAAAAACAGCAATAAATTCAATTGAAGAGACCTCTGAACAGCAACGGTTCACTGGTACAATTAAATTCGATCTATCCTCAACGAATATATATAATTATATAGATATTGTGTATCAACGAATATATAAATTATATAGATATTGTGTATGTATAGCGGGCTTGTGCGACGCCGATGAGAGAGAGAAAGAGGGGTAGAGACAGAAATGGGGGTAGTATTAAATGTGAGTTGGAGTATGGAAGAGTTTGGGTGGGGTCGCGTAGGGTCAGGTGTTTATGAATGACACGTGGCAGGGCAGTGGGAATTGGGGGCACGAAAGCATGAATTTGCCGACGGTGGTTGGAATTAGGAGTGCGCAGTACGGATTCGTCAAAATCGATTGAATCGAATTGATTCGTCATATTTTAGACGGATGTGTGATGACGAACGGACAGTTATGGATTAATTTTTTTTAATTTGTCATTTTGACAGATGGATGACGGATTTGAGATTCCTTTGGCTGCAACTAAACGGTCAAACCGCGAGCACTCTTAGTAATTTATAAGACTTTGTATTTTTAATTTGTTTAAATATTTTGTTTGTGTTTTCAATTGAAAAAGAGTTCAAATATTCTGTTGAAAAAAAATTTCAACTTAAATATATTTTTTGAATTGAAAAAAATAAACGTATTATTTATTTATATTTTTTAGTTTTTAAGGCCTAGTTTGGAAAGACTAAATAAGTGCACTTTTTGACTTTTTTTGTATTATGTGTAGAAAAAGTAGAGAGGAGATGTTGATTGATGTGACTCAAAAAAGATAAAAAGATGAAATAAGTGCACTTTTTCCTTTGTAGCCAAACTTGGCCTAAATCTAACTCTAAACGTAATAAATAAAAAATACAACATGTACTGGTTGGTTTTTGTTTTAAAAAACATATATAAATGTAACAATACAGAGGCATACAATCTCTACTATTGCTCTGTTCATGGTTTTGATGGTTTGAATTGTTTTTATATTTTAAGAACCACAGATTGTAATATTTTATGTGGATGAGTCATGCTGTGATTGTAATATGTGGATGAGGCATGCAGTGATTGTGATATTCTAAAGCTTTAAATTTTCTTTCTTTGAATGATGCATGCAGTAATTGTAATACTTTTTTGAATCATTAACTGTAATACTTTCTTTTTTTTTTTTCTTTTTTTTTAAGGAAGTGCACAAGTTAAACTATGTTGAAAATTTATAAAATTTCAAACCGCCAACTCGATTCGCATCCATCCGCAAAACTGCTAATCCGCTCAATTCACATTCGTCGGATTAGCGAACAGATGCAGATTGATTTTCTCCAATCCGCCAATCTAACGGACGGATGGCGGATTGGAGGCTTCGTTGCCACAACCGACTCGCACACCACCCCTAGTTGGAATAATGCCAGGGCTTGTCATTGAGCAATGATTCAGTCACCGATGGTGATGTGCCTTGGCTGTTAGCATATAGTTATGCTTATCATTGGTATAAATTATTCAAGGTTACTTGAAGAATACTTTATTGGGAAAATTGTTGAAACATTCAAGATAAAGAGGTTATGGATTGTTTTGAAAATATGGTTAAATTTTTTTTTTTTTCACTTTTTTTTTTTGTAAGAGAGGGAAGTGAGTTAAAAGTTGGAGCTTGTAAGCGACTTTCCAAAATAGCCCTATGGCCATGTTTCATTAGGGGTTTGGGAGGGTGGATTAGATTACCAATTCGTGAGACCTACTAAACTCTTAATTAGATGCAACAAAATGTCATAAGATTAGTAATGAAAAGGGTTTAGTAATCCCCTATCTAGGAGGATTAGGTTCGGTGAATTTTAGGTGAGATTAGAAAAATAATTAGGGGATTGAGTCTATTTTATATAAAAAATTTAGGTTCTGTTTGGTAGAGCTTTGGAACGTTAGTTCCAAGTTTTGATTTGCACACCGTGTTTGTTTACAGTTTTTAAAAATTAATTCCACACTCACTTTTGAAAACTCTGTCCAATGCAAAAAAAATTGGGCTAACGGGGCATCCCACTGATCAACCGACCGGTTGACCAGAACAGTATATAATTTTTAATTTTTTTAACACATGTTAATTTTTATATATTCAATAAAAATATTTTCTGAATTTTTTAAAAAAATTTATGAGTTTTGAATAGAATTTTGAGTTATGTGTTTGGTTATGAGTTGTAAGTTTTTGTATCAAATATCATATGTCACAACAAAAATTACTCACTCAATTCAAAACTCTTTTCAAATTTTCCACACTTAAATCATAATTCCAAAACTCACAGACTCAAAATACAACTCTATTCTCAAATCATATTTAGAAAACTCTACCAAACGCAACCTTAAGTTTTAAATTTTTTTTTTTACCAAGTGCACCTATTTGTTTTAATATTTGTTTTAGTTTTTTTAATATAGAAATATTTATTTATTTATTTTATATAAAAATAGTTTAACAATCACATCACTAATCATCTCTCACACTATCATCAAAACAAGCACACGTTTACGTAATTCCCTCACTAACAATCCACACATTACAATCTCTTCACTAACAATTCTCTCACTAATAATCTCATCCAACCTAATTCGCCAAACAAACGTGGCCTATATTGTGTGTTTGATTCAAGGGATTATTTGGGGATTATTTACTGTTTGAATTATTTATCTAATGGATGGGAATGTCCATCATTTGGTATAATTTTATTCCGTCGGATATGGAGTCTGGCCAGACTCTACATCCCTCATACGAGGGACTAAACAATCCTAGGGGGTGAGATTATTTCCATGGGATTGGTATTTCATGGGACTAATGTGTGAAATGTCTATTTTATTTTCATGTTATTACTTAGTAAACAATTGGAAAAAGAGTAAAATAGTTTTTGAACATTTATAAATTTTTTTTTAGTGTTGTCAATTTAAAATTATATATTGAATAAAAAATATAAATTATAAATTATAAAATTAATTTAATTGAAAATAATAAATTAAAATAATTAAAATATTGTGCAAAAAATAAAATAAAACAAATTTTTATTTAATCTAGTTAAAAATAATTAAAAATATTAAGTATATGTTTAATATTGCTATTATGTAGTAAATATAAATTATAAATTGTAGTCTTATAAATTAAAATGTTTTAGTGTTGCTAAATTATAAATTACAAATTATATATTAAACATAAATTATAAATTACAAGGGTAAAATAGTCTTTTGAACATTTATCCTTATCCAGTCAACCAAATATTGAATTCACTAAAAATAGTTTTTTCTAGACATCTAATTCGATGAGAAAACAAATACAGGATACACATCCAATCCAACCAAATAGTCCGGGGGATTGATAGTCTCAAGATTCAAGTCTGATGGATTCTAATCCTCCCTTATCCAGTCTATCGAATCAAAAATACCCATAAGGTATTAAATTTAGTGAATATTTTTTATTAGTAAAAGATTCACCTTTTGTAAAATAGTGATGCTACATGTACCAATTGATATACTAACTAATGTGCCAACATGTCTTATGACATTATTACTAACCTCACCTATTAAATAATTTACGAATATTTAAAACCTCTAAAATTATGCCACATCATCTATTAATATACTAATTGATATACTAATTAGTACATATAGCATTATTCTTTGGCGAGAAGTCCTAGATAATATTTTGTTTCCAAATTTATTCCTTATCTATTAAATTTTTTTATCTGTTTGACTTTTTTTTATTATTTGTTCAAATTTATATCTATCTGTTCAAAATTTTGACCATTGGTTCAATTTTTCCTCTTTATCTATTCAAATATTTGTTTAATTTTTTATATTAGTTGAAATAAAAGCCAAAAGAAACCCTATTTGTTGAGCCAAACCAACCATATCTGTTGTAAGACGAAGCCAAATAAAACCTTATTTGTTCATCATCATCATCGTCATCATCATCATAATCAACAATAACAACAATAATAATAAAAATGAAAAAACCTGAGAAACACACAGCAACAAGTACAAAAAAATAATAATAATTGGATCTAGATCTGGATCTGGATCTGGATTTGGCTTTTGGTGTTTTAAATCAAGGTTACAGAAGCCTTGTATGGAGGTGAGGTCTCTTCTGGTTCACGAAAGTCTTGTATGGAGAAGAGACTGAGGGTTTGAAGAGTTTTCATGGTGGCTGATGAAGTTTGATTCGAAGATCCTCTTCAAATCAGAAGAGTTTTCACTTCGTCACCAACATCTGGGTTGTCTTGACCTTATTATTCGACCATGTGAGATATGTAAGATATCTGAATGAATGTTGTAATGTGAGATATGTAAGATATCTGAATGAATGTTGTAATTTCTGTATCTATTGGTTACAAGAGTAATGCTCATTTATAGAGAAAGCACCGAAAGGAGAAGACAAAAGCTATGCATAATAATGAAAGTATGTGAGTGGTGTGTGGTCTTTACAACCGAAAGAAGAAAAGAATCATATGCTTTCTATGCTTTGTCTTATAATATATTATACTATATACATTATACATTACATTATACATTAACAGACCAAATGAGCTAATGAACTCGTTTCATCTTCGAAGCAACCAAATTGACTTTGGAGAACCACCCTAGCTCATTGTCGTACATTGATTTCTTGGCAAAATCAAAAAAGACTACCCAGACGACAGTGAAAAAGCAGAAGATGGTGTTAAGCGAGGGTGGATGAAGAAAGAGTCGTGGTGGTTATTGATCTGTTTCTGGTAGGTAATGAGGACTTCAGCAACTGCAAGGATTTAAGATCGTGGGCTTCATAGATCCGAGATTTGAGGTCGGCGACGGCATTGCTTCTTTGGCCATGGAAAGATGAGGGTAACGAAGAGGTGATTGACGACTAGCGTTGCTTTTTGAAAGAGTAACGAAATGAGTGGTACCGACGATGTCATCTACAGCGTCGGTCATCAGGAAAGAGAGAAAATATGAGGTGAACCACTGGTGCACGAAGGTGAATACATAGAGAGATAGGTGATTTTAGAGAGAGAGCGTGCGTGAAACGATTTTGCAAGTTGAAGGGAAAGAAGTGTTTTTAAATATACGAGGATAATTTATCCATTGTACAAAAATATGTCCTTATGGACATAGTGGGTGTTTGCGAAGTGAGTTTTTATGTAGGTTTTTTTAGTTGTATGATATTATTG